GATATGATGTTTGTCCATAATTTCAAACAATTTTAATAAGAAACCAAGCAATAATGTCGACGATGATACCTACCAATAACAATCTATGGTTGCGTTCAAAGAGCAGCCATAACAGTAATGTGTTCCTCAAAAAATTAAGCTTAATGCCGATATACTTACATGCGCATTGTCTTTCTTGGCAACAGCAGCCAACTTCTTGTAATCGTTAATTGTTCTGAAAGTGGTTACATTATTTGGGAAGAGGTCGCTGCCTGGTAATTCTCTTGGTGTTCCTCCTGTTGCAATGAGGCACTTTTCATAGCTGTATTGCTTTCCATCGGATGTGGTAACTACTTGGTTATGAGTATCCAATTGAACGACTTTGGTCTTGGTCAAAAGAGTGGTTGATGGATCTGATTCATAGGCAGAAATTGGCTCATACTCAACAGAAGTCTCTTGTCCAAGCCAGTTCACAAACTTGAGCTCATCAGCCTTATTGGAACTCCATAGCTCCTTTGAGAGGGGTGGGCGTTCATAGGGAGCATATTCCTCACCGGTAACGATAAGAACTTGAGCCGATGGGTCATTCTTCTTGATGGCCTTCAATGCTGCATTTGTTGTTGTTGTTGTTCAGATTCGTATCATCACGAAAAGCAAAATATAGCGATTGTTGATGATAGGATGATGGTTGGTGCGATTGCAACATTGAACGACAAAACTTACCAGCATAAGAAGCAGTGCCACCACCAATTAAAATATACTCTAAATAAATTCATCAAATATATTATTATTGTTATTATGAATACGAATTATTATTATTATTATATTAAATGTTGCAAATCGCAATAGAATTCCTAGCGTAAATCACCTGACCTTGTTGTGTCTCTACATACTGTATTTAGTAGCTTCAGTCTTCTTTGCTGAAGCAACAGTAACATCCCTGGAGTTTCTTTCCTTGTCCTTCTTTATTTCTTCCTTAACTCTACGATGCTCAAGATATTCCTCCAAGTTTGGATCTCCATGTTCACGATCACTTCTAATCCAATAATCCACAAACATTGGTGTTAAGACCAAAGGAACTAATCCACCAGCAAGAAAGAGTGGAAGCAACGATGTCTTTCTCTTGTTTTGTAAATATTCAGGTCTGCTTCCGTATTCATTAAAATATTTCTCTTTATCTGCATTTGATGATTTAAATCTTCTTGACACTTTCTCAAAGTTCTTTCCGCTGTTGTTGTGTTTGGTAAAAAGGCTGCTTGATCTCTGGAAGAGAGAACGGGCAGTAGAGATGGAGGTTTTGGAGAACATTTTTTTCGTTTACAAAAACCTCTAAAAATTCTCCGTTGAAAATTGAACCATCATCAAAAGGAATAACAGTGTTGAGAACGATTCATGATTATTGTTGTTGTGATGTGTTGTTGTATCAATGAAGCTGAATATTGATGATGATGAGATTGAAAATAAGTGGCAATGGAGTGAAAAATAAAAAAATGATGAAGCGAGTTGCGTCGAGAATTTTGGGCAGCCAAGCCACAAAGAAGAATTTTTCGTCTGCCTTGATGATTCATCATCAGCCACAACAAAATGTAAATATTCAATTTTTATATAATATTGGATGCATCTACCATATTTTCTCGTCATTTTATAGTGTTATTCATCATCGGCAAGAAATGTCAAACCAACAGTGACCATCTTTGGAGGCAGTGGATTTGTTGGCCAACAAATTTTGAAACGTATCGCCCCTCAGTGCGAGAAAGTTATTATCGCTTGTAGAGGAGTCTCTGAATTTGAACATCAAGCAAGACACTATGGTAGGTTGGCTTTGTTATTAGTTTCAGTCTGAATTGTTGTTTTGGCTGATGATAACTTCTGTCAATATTCATCCATCGTGTATTCAATGTAATATGCTTGTTTAATTCGATGATATGTGGATATTTGCGGAAATAATATTATCATCATTGGATTCATCTCTACGCGAACTCTCATCATAAAATCAGACAATGTTAGCGTTGTCTATTCTGATGTTACCGATAAGGATACAATTGACAGTGCAATTTACGGAAGTGATGTTGTTATTAATCTTGTTGGCCTTCTTTATGAAAGTGATAATACTTTTGTTGAGGCTCATATTGATGGAGCCAGCAATGTTTCTCATAGTGCTCATAGATTAGGTGTTGATCAAATGATTCAATTTAGTTTCCTCAATTCCGAGCTCGATTCCCCATCATGGTGGTCAGATACTCGTTACAGATCGGAGGATATTGTCTATTCTAATTTTCCAACAGCAACATTTGTAAAGCCAAGCATTATGTTCGATAAGAAGGAAAATATCTATTCTGGAGCTTACATTAACAGACTCGGAAGAACTCCTTTGAGATTCCTACCAGTAATTCCTGCTCCTTTACATGACGCTAAACTTCAACCTGTTTTTGTGAATGATGTTATTGATGCTGTAGAGAAGGTCATTTTCTCCAAAGTGGAAGAAACTAGAGGAAAGAGCTTGTATTTGGCAGGTCCAGAGGTAATGACACTTCAACAAATGATGTCGAAAGCTTTTGGAAAGCCAGCATTACCAGTCTGGTATCCAGTATTTGATTTTATTCTTGGATGTACACAAATGTTACCAAATCCTGTTGTCACTCGTGACCAATTCCTTGTTTTGAAACAACATGGTGGTGATTTAACTCTTAATTCCACATTGGAGAGAATCGAACCATCTGTAAAAAGGACCATCATGACCTTTGAAGATTTAGACATTCAACCCAAGTCTTTGACCTCTCAATATTGAGCCACTTTCTCTCTAATAATCATTGGTACAAGAGTGGGAGCCTGAGAACTCTCTTGTATCGAATTCGATAATGCACGTGATTCCAAATAAAATTGGGTTTCGCTTTCTTATATAGTTGTAGAACGACAAATTTGACGAATTGTATGTATAGAATTGAAAATTGTTGTATGTTATTAAATTATTGTTGGGAAACGAAAATTGCCCGCCAATTCTTTACAACAATTTGAATTTAAAAAATGTTTGGATCGGAATCGAAAGGCCGAGCTATCAATCTTCGTAATTTCTCAGCCCACAAGAAACAAGTATTGTGTTCAAAAATAGGGCGTAAATCAGGTCAAATAGTTGCAACTGGAGGAGAAGATGCTCTGGTAAAATTATGGCATGTAGCGAATGATGACCCTTTGATGTCCCTAGCTGGACATAAAAGTCCGATCACGTGTTTGACCTTCAATAGCACGGAGGATGTTGTTATTGCTGGTTCCGAGAGTGGATCTATTCGATTATGGGACTTAAACTCTGAACAGCCAACATCATCAAAAACTTTTCAAGGTGGACATCGTTCAGCGGTCACTTGCGTGGACTTTCACCCTTTTGCATCCGAATACTTTGCTACTGGATCTCTTGACACAAATGTAAAAGTGTGGGATTCAAGAGTTAAAAAGGATGTGCAGTCACATAGAGGAGAATCAGAAAATTATAAGGAGCCCATTTCATCATTAAGATTTACACCAGATGGAAAGTGGATTGTTGCCGGTGGAGAAGATGGAACCATTAAGATTTACGATATTACGACTGGTAAAAAGTTTGGTCAAATTCAAAGTCACAGATCTACCGTTACCACCATTGATTTCCATCCCTCTGAATTTTACTTAGCCACAGGAAGTGCAGATAGAACAGTTCAAGTTCTAAGCTTGGAGGACTCGATTGAGGTTGTTTCAAAGTCTGACATTTTCCCATCCGGTGTAAAATCAGTGCAATTTAGTCCTGAGGATGGTTCAGTGCTTTTATCGATATGCGATGAAGGAATGAAGGTGCATGCTTGGAACTCGGCAAATATGCGTTGCATAGATACCATTGATGCTAAATGGGGTGACATTAATGATGTCAATCTTCATCAAGGTCTTAATCAAATATTTGCTGTTAGCGCCAATCCAACGGTGACTGGATATGTGGGTATTTGGGTGATACCTGTTGACTCTGTGAGGCCATGGTATAATGGTCAAGACGATAAAAAGATGCATTTCTCGCCTCAACTGACAAAAGAAATGGTGAATGAGACTCTAAATAGCTCAACTGAGGACGTTTTAAATGAAATCAGAAATAGGAAGCCTGTGAGTGTAGCTACTACAACAACAACCCGAGGAGAAGTGATTACAGTGACCAAGGTTTCTGGAGAAAGAAGAACACCTGCGTTGGGTGTCCCTCAAACGCCATCAAGTGAGGTAATAGTATCATCGAAAAGAAAGGAACCAGCTAATATTGATATTGATTCGTTCGTTCCAGTAAGTATTCGTTGGTGAATGCATGGATTGATGAGGTAACTTGGATTATTATTGAAGGAGAAGCTTTCTCTGAACTTGATGATGATCAAATTATAGAAGAAATAATGAAATCTCACCAAAAAATGTCGAGTGCCATGACAAATAGGTTAAACAATTTAAAAATTGTTCGAAGAATTTGGATCGATCAAGGAGATCCAAAGGAAGCCATTAAGGCACTTGTAAAAATGAAAAGATTTACCACTTGCATCTGACATGTTAGGGCAACTATTACGTCCAGAATGTAAAAAGCATTTGACCCTTGAATTGTGTGCTCTCCTTTTACCAGTAATTATTGACCTCATAAAGGAAAATTATGAGGAACACATATCAACTGCACTCAAAGCATCCATGTTGTTGTATTCAAGTTTCTCAGGAATGATTGAAGAAAATTTACAACTATTTAATAGCAATTCAAATCTTGCACAAATGGATATTAATGCAGAGGCAAGAATTTCGAAATGTCAAGCATGCAAAAGAGGTTTCGGAGAGGTGAAACGAATTATAATAGAAAGAGCAGCCGATTTCTCACAAATGACAGATCTTGCTTTGCTATCGAGGAGAGTTGTAAAGACAATCAAGTAAATTCATTATTACACTTTCACTCCTGCCACAACTTGAATTTAAAAATGGTATCTGTCTTTTTATCATGATAATTGGTAACGTGTGAATTGAGAATCATCAAAGGCCCAACTTTTGATTTGTTTCTCCGTAAGTAACGAGTCTGGTTGTTGAAAATTTAAATGTGTCCGATGTGTTTACTAGGAGTGGATCTTGCTTCAACAACAGGTTGTCAATGAAATCCAGAGATGGAGATTTTAGGAATTGCTCAGTGTGGTCATTGATAATTGTGGGCTTGTCGTTAGGAGGTGAGTCTAAAAATCGAGAGAGTGATGACGATGACATTTTTCTTTTGATGAAATGAATAATTATTATAATCAAAGGTATCACCATATGTTGCGAATAATTAATTACAAATAATTAGATGAGAATCACATAAACTCCCAATGATTACGACACAGTGGGCACGTTTGCTCTTCCGTTGACTTTGTTTCCAACCATTTGGCGATGCAAGTGAGATGGAAAGCATGTTTACACTTTCCCCATACCACTGGACAATCATCACCTGGTTGTTGAAGTTTACTCGCTCCGTCTGGAGAGAGTCCGTCCAAAAGCCAATGACAAATACCACACACTTCATCGGGACTCTTCCAAGTCCAAGAAGCAACAAAATGAGCGCGCTTGATTCTAATTTTCATTTTTCTTCTAATATTTCATTTCAATATATATATTATTTAATGTCTGATCAAGAAGCAGAGTTTATGTTTCTTCTTCTTGACCATACATGAGAGATGTCATCATTGTCTCTGAACGTATCCTTCCTTTTTTCAAATAGACGCTCATTCGAAGTGTTAACTAGCCCTGGGTTCCAATGTTTGAAAACGTTAAAAATAAAAAATGCAGAGAACCTTCAGTTACTCAAGCCAGCAATATGGAGCTTCAACACCTCCTCCATCTTCTTCATCGGGAACAACAACCACAACAGGATCCTCATCATCGATATCACCTGTTAATAGTGGATCATCTGTTTCTCCATCTCAACAAAAACAGGCTCTCAAGAAAAAGTTAAATTATTTGAAAATAGAAAGGAAAGAGAAAAGTATGAAAATATGGCTGAATTATATTCTTTGATTGTTTCTGTGGAACGATTAGAAAAAGCCTATGTCAAGGATTCCATTATGGCCACTGAATATGCCGATGCTTGTAGAAAATTAATTGCAAAATTTAAAACTATTCAACCAATTGTTTCGGCAGATGTACCTGATATTGAACGATTCATGAAAGAGTATAGATTGGATTGTCCTGCAGCAACTAATCGATTGCTTAAAGTCGGTGTTCCAGCAACAGTCGAACATGGAGGAAAGGATCCTAACCAAACTGCACCAACTGTTAAATTGATTGCACAAGCGACCCAATACTTTATCACCGTCATGGATACCATAAAACTTGGATTGTTAGCCAAAGATCAATTAGCTCCGATTTTGGTTGATCTCATGGATTCTCTAAATTCATTACATATCAAAGACTTTGAAGGAAAGACAAAGATTAGAGATTGGACTGTTACTTTTAACCAGATGAAGGCCCACGAAAGCATAGATGAGGACCAGGCACGACAATTGTATTATGATATTGAACAGGCCTATAACCAATTTCACAAAGTGTTGCAATAGAGTTCACAAACATGATCTGGCACGTTTTGTAATTAATCATCATTTCACAAATCGGATTATTCCAAGAATGTGTCATCTTGTAAATAGTAAATTTTAAATAATAATAATTTAATACTGGTGAAAACCAAATATTGTCAATAATTGTGAAAAGAGACTATTTCTGTTGTCCTGCTTTTTGTTGTTGAATCTTTTGGAAAATATTCCTAAAGTTTTCTTCTTCGGCTTCAATTCTCTTCAAGATGGATGTTCTTGTTTCTTGGAGCTTTTTCAGCTCAGCTTCACAATATTCAATATTTCTACCAATATCTTCCTTCAAAGAACCCTTGCTCTTGGTGATGTACATTCTTCCGATGGCTTTGTAGGTTGGAGTGTCTTCGGAAGTCTTTCCAATTCAGCAAAAGTGAGTGTTGCCATTCTCTTCTCTCTTTCCAACAATTGTGCTTGAGTAATGTTGTTTGATCTGTGTTTATACAACTCGAAGAGTTTACTTTCAGACTCTACGTATAATTCCTCATCTTCGGTCAGCGTTTTGATGGGAGCCTTTGCAGTGGTTGCCGTTGTGGACATTTTTTGTTGTATGATAAAGAGGAAGAAATTAGGCTCTCCATTATGATGACAATCCAATGAATTAATTGAAAAACCATTGAAACATATGAACATGTTTATCCAGCTTGAATGGTCAAAGATTAAAGTATGCCAATCGATAGACGTATACCCATGAAAGGCCACTCCATTCATTTGTGATAATATTGAAAGATAACGAACACTTCTTGGAAGGGATCATGTGGAAATTCAAGTTTCAGCATCCATGTTCTTTTTCTAAATCTTGACATCTTTGTTCATGAACTTTCAATTCGATTTGAATGAAAAAATGTCCACAGCCCAACACCTTCCTCATGACATTCTCTTTCATATTTTCACGAATTACAGCACACCCGATCAATACATGAATGCATTGATGCTTGTTTGTAAGCATTGGAATGAACTCACACATTATGAAATGTTTTGGGTGGCTACTCTCAAACAATCGCTCCGATCTCAAATTCAATATTCATCAAATGTTGAAATTCATGAAATGGAGAATCTATGGAACGACACGTCGTCGACAAGTCCTGGAATGATTACAATGAAAGATATTCAGAAAGAACGAGAACGTTTTATTAAATCCATGGAAACAAGAGAGAATATTCTCATCATCAATTTGCTGCCGTTTACAAAAAGAAAAGAAACCAATGATGACATATTTGGCAATGTGTACAAGCAACGTACCGTTCAATTTTTGCAAGAAAGATCTAAAAGAAGAGTTGCATTGGAGTTGTTGAAAATGATCATTTCCGTTCAAAAGCTCTCTCCTTTCATCAATCCAGAAGAGATTTTTGATGCACATTTTGAAAAGGTTTGGGAAAAGGATGTGATACAGTTTATTGAAAATCATCCAATCTATGACAGAGATCAAATATGTAGCATTTCAATATTGAATCCATCTGAGACTGTGTGTCATCTTTTCGTGAAGAGTTGTCGATTGTATTTGAGATCTTGGAACTTTTTAGAAAAAGAGTGAAATTTGTTGGTAAAATGTTGGAATACCTGTTTGTGAAAGGAGTTAACTCATTGGTCAGTCCTCTCATGGATGCATTATTTGCACTCGGACATCCAGAGATCTTTATTGAGAAAGAAGATGAGTTTTCAGAAAATGGAGAATTGTGTTATTGCCCAGGACTATTTAAAAGTTTGAAAGTGAATTCAAGAGCTCTAGCAAAGGAGGAGTATCCAAGATCATGTTCAGGAGTCTTGTTCAAAATACTAACTTTAGCAGAGCAGCGTCTGGGCATGTTGTGTCAAAGTTTGTTAGATTGATACTTTCTAAAAAGCTCACAAAATTTAAGGAAAGCATGGTAGAGCCATACTTACAAGATGCACATTTCGTATCATGTCTGGCAAAACCTAATTTTGAGTTGTTGCAAACCTTGTATTTGGACATTGGTATTCATCAATTGAAAAACTTTAATGAGAGCGAATTTGTTGGATCATTACTTCAAAATGCAATCAGAGATTACCCTTATGCTGAATTGCCTTCCTTCTTAAGAAAATGTAAAGAACAATTAGGTATGAATTTTTCGCATCCCAATGCACTCTATGCTGCAGTATCCAGATCATATGATTCTCTTGATGTGCTAAAATTTTTAGTTGAAGAGTGTCATGTTGATGTGAATGCTGACCTTTCACCTCATGCTGGCGCATTACCACTAGTCATTTTCAATTCGATATCAGGAACCAAAGTGGATACTATTTTGTACCTTGTTGAAAAAGGAGCTACTGTTTCAGAGAATAACATGGGAACCTATGAAGGATTATCCACGGATCAGTTGTTGTCAAATTTTATTAGTAACATGGAATATTTCATATCCACTTGTAAATTACTGATTGAAAAGTTTAATTTGAAGCCAGACGTCTTTGCGTTTTTATATAACTTGGGCTACAGTGACACTGTTACTGGCTACACTGTCGACTCCATATTTGAAATTTTGGACTTTTGCGCTCAACATGGATCTTTGCTTACCACCAACATGGAGGATGCAACAAACGCACTCCAATATGTATTCAATCACTGGAGTGATGCCTCTTTTGTTGCACAGGATCAGAAATTGTTAAAACACGAGTTTGCAGCAAGAATTTTGGAAAAGTATGATATTACCCTTGAAGAAGCAACGAATGAAAATGAATTCATTTAAGAGTTGGCCTGTGCACCAACAGTGGAAACATTGGAGTAAAGGAAGAAGAAACGGTTGCCACTTGTAAGTGAAGAATGTAATGAGAATTGAAAGAGTCATCATTCTGCTATTTAGGACTTGCTGGAGTGGACTTTGATTTATTGTGCCACGCAAACTATTCCAACATTTAAATCTCTGAAAGCGAACCCACTCAATAAATTGTCAACCATAACAAACATTTTCTCAAACGAATCATTCATCTTCTAATAAACTGTGCTTGTTTGGTCTAACATCATCGTTTACTTCACGATTGCCAATTACTTTGGTAAGATCACCACAATTTCAAACATGCAGAATCTAAAAATAAAAACTTTAAATTAAACAATTTTAATGAAACCACAACAAACAGAGGGAGTGAGGTCATGATCGCCATTTAGCATTGCCAGAGTATTACTCTCTGTGAGGCAAGTTGTGTAATTCTAACACCGCGAACTGCTCATTCATCAGAAGCGATTGGTGGCGAAAATCCACCCTTGCCTTTTTAAGCTTTTAATTTTGTTGAGCGCAAACTCAATTACTTCTTTCAGGTGAGGCCAAACGAAATTAAAATTATGATGTTAAGTAGCATAATTTGATGACAAAATATATTTTCCAATGATGAGCTTGTTTATTGTCCTGGAGGTTTTAAGGGTTCGGTTCCAGTTTTGGCATGCCATTTGTTGGTGGCATCACTTGTGGCCAACTCAGCCATAATCCTTGCAAATATGCTGGGAGCAATATCTGCTCCAGTCTCTTTCTTGATTGCCTCTTTCACAATTTGTTTTGTCAAGGTGTACTTATGATCTTTGAATGCTTTGACCACTAGATCTCGAAATCTGCTTTCTTGTTCCGAGTAATCAGGTTTGTGCTTTAAAATTCTAGCATTGTTAAACTCTACCGTAATTTCATCTAGGATGTTTTGAAAGTCTTCTTCCTTAGCCTGTTTGATGTATCTTGAAGATGATTCGTTCTTTCTCTTCTTGAGATAGGATTCACTACAAACACCCCACTGCTTGAGAATATCACTAAGGAAGTTTCGCAACTCGCTCTCCACACTCTGTACAGGTCTGTTGACGGCCGAACCGGATCTTGCTCCAGGTTTTGGTACCTCGTGCAACAAGATGGAAAGATCCTTAAACTTGGACTCTAACAAAATCTTCATCTCTAGTTCTCTCTTTTCCACATTTCCTTAAGTGTGACTGCAATAAATGCTCGGAATTCATTCTCAAATTCATGATCAGCGTCATACTTTAAAACCCAATATGCGGCAATATCTTGTGAATTTTCTGTCTTCACTTTTACCGCAATTTCTTCAAGAAGCTGCTTGGCTTTCTCAGGGTCAATTCCTGTTTTCTCAACAAACAGTTTTCGAACAACTCGCTTCTCGGTTTGGAAAAGATACAATAGATATTCTCTGTAGGCT